ACACGCAAGAATGAGGCTGACCCCCCCCCCCCCCAATAGGATGCCCCCAGGATTGAACTCAACTATCTGAGAAGAGAGAAGGGGATTTGAGGGGGGCTCATTATGCTATATATATATATATATATATTTTGTAATACATGCTTTAGTTGATAGCTTTGGGAATATTTCTAGCAATTTATGTGATGGCTGTGACATTGTGTTTGTCGAAGCACAACTAAAAGTGTTACACCGAGGGCCATCTGACTAGTAGGATAACTTTTCGTCGTGATGGCATTATTGCTGCCTTAGCTCATCTTATCTCCTAAGTTTATTTTTAAAAAGCAGTTAGAGAATGCTGTTAACTGATTCCTTTTTTGGCATCAAGCAAGTGGATATGTTTCATTAAAATTTTTTATCCTCGTCTTTCTGATTTTTCTTCTTTCTTGTTTGGCTATGACTTGTGATCTATACTCTTCTAGGAGAACAATTAGATGCCAGTGTAACATTTTTATATTGTTTTTTTTTTTTGAGAATGGTAAAGCATTTTTATATTGTTCTGGCATGGTATCTTCATATCCTATAATATGTATAAGGAGTTTATAGATGAGCATGACCGACTGGAAGTTGGAACTTTCTTGAACTTCTCAGTAGCAAGTTTGAAGTTAAGTGTGCAGAAATATTACTAAGAATATACAGATTTGTGCCCATCCAAGTCTATACTTGCTTTACTTACAACACAAATGCAAAATGTTAGTTTCAAAGAGGCTTGTCTTTGTCAATTAGACTTTTGTTTGTGTGAATTGCACTTAAATCTGAGTTCTAGAACAATTTAAAACATTCTCAAAAAAATGTGGTTGTCTCCACTGACACAAAACAAAACTGATAACATTAAAGCAAGAAGAGGCAGCAGCAGCCATGACAAATGATTCTGAAACCGAGGGCCATCTGACTAGTAGGATAACTTTTCGTCGTGATGGCATTATTGCTGCCTTAGCTCATCTTATCTCCTAAGTTTATTTTTAAAAAGTAGTTAGAGAATGCTGTTAATTTTACTGATTTATTTTTTGGCATCAAGCAAGTGGATATGTTTCATTAAATTTTTTATCTCGTTTTTCTGATTTTTCTTCTTTCTTATTTGGCCATGACTTGTGATCTATACTCTTCTAGGAGAACAATTAGATGCCAGTGTAACATTTTTATATTGTTCTGGCATGGTATCTTTATATCCTATAATATGTGTAAGTAGTTGATAGATGAGCATGACGAACTGGAAGTTGGAACTTTCTTGAACTTCTCTCAGTAGCAAGTTTGAAGTTAAGTGTGCAAAATATTACTAAGAATATACAGAATTTGTGCCCATCCAAGTCAATACTTGCTTTACTTGCAACACAAACGCAAAATGTTAGTGTCAAAGAGGCCCAGTGGTTTGGGCTTGGGACTTCCATGTTGGAGGTCTCAAGTTCGAAACCCCTTGCCAGCGAAAGCAAGGGGTTTGCCTTCTGGGTCGAGCTCGTCGCACCGGGCTTGCCTAGTGCGGGTTACCTCTCCTATGTGGTTTGCGAGCTATTGCATAGGAGCGGGGGTTTTACCCTGTGCGCACCCAAAGGGTAGCGGCTGCGGGTTTCCCTTGTCATCAAAAAAAATATACGTACGTATTTGTTAGTGAAAGTGAACTGAAGAACTATCCTTTCTTGCTCCTCCTTTGTAGTCCTTACTTGGACATCAGTTTTTTGAGGGCACTGCTAATGATGTCGATGCTAACATGGCTATGGCCATTGAGTTGATTTCTCATTTCCTCCGCGAGCAACAAACTATTTTATCTTTCCAAGTCATCTACAATTTAGTTGCAGTTATGTTCATGAGCTTTGTAAGTGTGTATATGAAATGAAAGGTAACAGAGAAGTATTAAGAGTCTACAAGAGAAGCATGGTGAACTAGCACTAGACAGACATGAAAAAATTAATTTGTTGCCTAGTGTTCAAGTTCTGAAGAAACATGATTCAGCTTATATTGAATCAGTCTCTTTTTGCTTATATTATTTCTTCGGAAAAAGTCTCTCTACCTCTGACGTAGGAGTAATGTTTGCATATATTCTATGCTCCTCAAACTTCACTTTGTGAGAATATATGTGCTGGATATGTTTTTGTTGTCATCTTTTCACTAGTTTCACAGTACGCGCTTTGACAGAAAATATATTACTCCTAAGCAAGGGTGGTCATACATAGGTCAGATTAATTCCGATTTTTGTTTATCAAATTATTTTTATTAGATTAATTACGCTAAGCATCTCTATAGTATGATTAAATTCCAAATACACTATCTATATAATAAAAATAAATACTTTTAAAAAAATGCTTACACCTCATAGTTGGACTTTTGTTTTGTGTGAATTGTACTTAAATCTGAGTTCTAGAACAATTTAAAACATTCTCAAAAAAATGTGGTTGCCTTCACTGACACAAAACAAAACTGATAACATTGAAGCAAGAAGAGGCAGCAGTAGCCATGACAAACGATTCTGAAACTTTTTGAAGTAACTGAAGAACGAGTTAGATAACCGTGCTATTTTTACCTATTGCTTGGATTGTTTTAAATCATTGAATATGCCATGTTATTTTGAATCTTGTCATGTCTTTTCTTCTTCTGCTTGAACCTCTTACTCAATCTTTTCACAAGTTGTTCTGAATAGCTAGACTATTGGTGTTTAGGGGTTCAAATTCCTTTATCTTTGTGGTCATGTTAGCTTGTTCATCATCTTTTTTGGGGGTATGCTAGCAGATGGCTGGTGTAGCTGCAATTGAAGTTCTAGTGTGTAGTATAAGTCATAATTTTTTGGGGCCTTGTGTTGACTATTATGCTTCTAGTGTTCTGAGTTCTAGTTGAGGTTTATCATAGAATTCTTTGCATTTGATGTTATTTTCTTGTTGTCAGTCATTGGTATAAGCTTTGTGGTTTATATAGTCTGGAGTACGCTTGTCGGCGTTTCATTTGCTATCGAGGGGGTTTCATTGGTTATTCTGAAGTTTGTTGGTTTAATTAATTGTCTAGGGTGGTGATGTCCCTGCTCCATTCATGACATTTGAAGATACTGGCTTCCCGCCAGAAATACTAAGAGAGGTGAGTGTTCTTCTCAAATTTGATCACTTGTTGGTTATTTGAAGGATTTTAGGATCTGCTTCGTCTCATTTCCATTTTTTATTTTAAGAACATGCCACAAGCTTATCGATTGTCGCTTGTCGCAGGTGCGATATCTGCTCCGCAGGAGGAGCACATGTCGTACGCTGTAATGCTATCCTCATAATTTGGCAACAACTGTTCTGAGTTTTTGAGGCTGCAAAATGGAAATTGGAGCCTCTGTTGCATAGCTCATGAAAGGTGGTTGGCCCTTAAGACAGATTCCACTAGATGACTGGGGTTTCTAGCTTATTGCTCCGGGTCTTCTGTTTTAGTTGCTCCCTTTTGTTGCTTCGAGTTGCTTCAGTAAGCAACTGCATCCCATGTGTTTCTTTAGGATTCCTCCATTTTTCTATCTTTCCCTTTTCTTTAAAGATTAAATTAGTTTTCATGCTACTTGCTTTAGTATTGTGCTTGGAATTCTTAAGTGTGTGTAGATGTGTTCACCGTTACTCCTCTCTATTCATTTGGGGTCATGTATTGCAGATTCAGTTTGCGGGATTCACTTCACCCACTCCCATCCAGGCACAAACATGGCCCATAGCGTTGCAAAATAGGGATATAGTGGCCATTGCCAAGACAGGTTCTGGCAAAACATTGGGCTATCTAATTCCTGCATTTGTCCACCTTAAACGACGGCACAACAATCCTCAAAATGGCCCGACAGTGGTGGTTTTATCTCCAACACGAGAGCTTGCCACACAAATACAAGATGAAGCGCTGAAGTTTGGTCGATCTGCAAGGGTTTCTTGCACGGTGAGTTGATGTATGAACAGTTTCTCATTTGAACTCTGTTGATTCTTGAAGAAGATATCGATCAACTCTTTCATTTCAGTGCTTGTATGGAGGTGCACCCAAAGTTCACCAGTTGAAAGAACTAGAGCGCGGAACAGATATTGTTGTTGCAACTCCTGGTCGGCTTAATGACATCCTTGAAATGAAAAGAATTGACTTTAGACAGGTTTCTCTTCTCGTGCTAGATGAGGCTGATCGAATGCTTGACATGGGTTTTGAACCTCAGATCCGCAAGATTGTAAATGAGATACCCCCACATAGACAAACACTTATGTACACAGCAACTTGGCCCAAAGAAGTGCGAAAAATAGCCGGTGATCTTCTTCGAAATCCTGTCCAGGTTAATATTGGTAACGTTGATCAGCTTGCAGCAAACAAGTCTATCACACAGGTAATTTGAAGCAGTTTATTTCCACACTCATGTGCAATGCCTGGATATCCATGTTAAGCAACCAGCTAATATATTATCATCACATTTCCCTTATGTATTTCTCTGCAGCAATGTTTCCCAGCAATTAGTTACTGATTTTAGGCTGCCATGGTCTACTTAAAAAGTGATATTATTTTGGTTTGAAACGTGTCCTTCAATTATTGATCTTCCGATTTTGTAAAATCTGAATATGATATATGATAAACGGGCAATGACACTGTATTCTCATTATTACTTAATTGTAGTACCCTCTTTCTTTATTGTTTGAGTTTGTGTTTCTTAGTTTTTGGTAACATGATATGGCGATTGCATCCCAGATGGTTATCAAATTTGAAACATTGACACATGACACTAATGCAGATAGCCAAACATGATTTATCCATCTAACTTTTTGTTTCTTCATGCTTTATGTGGAAACTAAGTTTAAATATTTTGTTAGTCTAAACAAGTGAGTACTGTTGAGGGTTTTAGCTCCTGCATCAATCTTGAGTGAAACTAATTAGCAATGGAAGTGTTGCTTGCTTAAACAAAGATCCCTCTGTTGTGAAACTAGCATCCTCCTATTTTAAATACTGAAGTGGTTATTCCAAATGTGAAATACTTGTGCAGTACATTGAAGTAGTCCCGCAAATGGAGAAGCAGAGACGGTTGGAGCAGATTCTTAGATCCCAAGAAAGGGGTTCTAAAGCTATTATATTCTGTTCCACAAAGAAGTTGTGCGACCAACTTGCACGCAGTATTGGTCGAAACTTTGGAGCTGCAGCTATTCATGGAGACAAGTCCCAGGGTGAGAGGGACTGGGTTCTCAATCAATTTCGCGCTGGTAAGACCCCAATTTTAGTAGCAACAGATGTTGCTGCTAGAGGACTGGACATACCTGATATAAGGTGAGGACCTCATTTTCATTTGATATCTGAGTGTGTTGGATGTTTTCTTCGGAAATTAAAAAAAAAAACTATCAATGTGTACTGCTAAATAATATGCCCTTGTTTTTTTATTTGAAATAGTAGTAGACCATTTATATCATTTTAAGTTCTCACTATGCTGCAGAGTGGTGATCAACTATGATTTTCCGACTGGGATTGAGGATTATGTTCACCGAATTGGAAGAACTGGTAGGGCTGGTGCAACTGGTGTTTCATACACCTTTTTATCTGATCAGGACTGGAAATATGCTCCTGATCTTGTTAAAGTTCTGGAAGGCGCAAATCAGCAAGTGCCTCCGGATGTTAGGGAGATGGCTTTACGTGCTGGTGGCAGGGATAGAGGTGGCATGAACCGTTCTGATCTTGTCGATGGTGATGGTGTCCGCACACGTTGGGATTCTGGTGGCCGCGGTGGGATGAGAGATGGTGCATTTGGTGGCCGTGGCGGAATGAGGGATGGTGGGTTTGGTGGCCGTGGTATGAGGGATGGTGGGTTTGGTGGTCCTGGTGGGATGAGAGATGGTGGGTTTGGTGGCCCTGGTGGGATGAGAGATGGTGGGTTTGGTGGCCGTGGTGGAAGGGAGAGCAACTTTGGTGGCCGTGGTGGAAGGGATGGTCACTTTGGTGGCCGTGTTGGGATGAGGGACAACAATTTTGGTGGCCGTGGTGGCAGGGGTGGTGCTCAAAGTGTTTGGGACAGAAATGATCGGTATGACAGTTCAGATGTGCGAGGACGTGGGAGAGGTCGCGGGCGTGGACGTTTTGACAATAGAAGAGACATGCCAAGTCGGAGTCGAGGAAGAAGTTACAGCCCTAGTCCGGAGAGAGTTCGAACATGGGGTAGTAGAAGCAGAAGCAGGAGTCGCAGCAGAAGCAGGAGTTATAGTAGGAGTTACAGCCGAAGCCGGAGTCGCAGCTACAGCCCCAGGCGCAGTCGTAGCCGCAGCCGTAGTCGTAGTCGTGATAGATATCAAAGGAGGCCTCGCCAAAGTAAGTTTGATCAGATGGATCCAGATCCAGGAATGTCAAGCATTCAGGTTGCTCCTCCATATGTGATGCCTCCATTGCCTATAGGTGCACCAGTTGATGGATTTTCTGGAGCTGCGTCAGTGGAATTGAAACCAAATATGGAAGTAGCCCCAGAATCTGGTATGTCACCTATGTCTCCAGGAACTCGAGGAAATGGCTTGCCAGGATCTGAGGTCATAGGGCAGAACCCTTGAATTGGAAGCTCCACTCATGCTATCAATGCATTTCTACGACCTTAGGGGAGGGAGGTGCTGCGTAGTAAGCATGCATATATCTGTTCTTGAGAGACGACAGTAGATAGAGTGTCGAGTTTGATGTTTTGCTGCTGCCATATGCATGTGCAAGGGACCTAAATGCGCCTGGTATATGCTATTTTTCAGGGAGGAGGAATGCTGATGGTGGACAGAGACATTGATTCTCTATCAAACCTTCGGCTCACTCACTTCTCTAGACTATTTTCAGTGAGGACTTGCCATCATTAGTTTCCTTTTGGGGAGGGGATGGGGGTAGAATCATGTCTGGTTTAGATGATCATATCTTTAATTGTTGTCAAAATTGCTTATACCTAAATATCAACTCAATGGAGTTATCATTTTAAAACTGGAGACAATTGGGAAATTGTAGCTGTTGTTTCACATTTTCATTTTTCAATCTCTCTTGCTTGGTCAGGGAAACATAGACTAGTTTTAAGGACGGATTTTGGGTTTGTTATTCCCTAATCATTAAGGTTACAAGTGCATGAGAACCTGTGCATGTCGTTCGATAAATTGAAGTTTATTTCTTGATCAAGTGGGTTAGCCTTGGGCATACTTGAGGGGTTACGTGCATTTCTTTGTTGGATTGGCATTTTAATGCTAGACTTGTAGCTTTTGTAATAGTAGTTTGGCCAATGCGGGTAATTGATTTAAAATATCTAAATAAATTTATATTTCTGGATTTAGGTGAGACTTCTTTCTAAGGGCGAAATGGCTTTCTAGTCCTTTACAAACTTGATTCTTACAATCTGGTGATAAAATTCTCTCTTCTCTCTCCTCTCTCCTAAACATGCATACATAACATAACCTAGCCTATGAACCCAATCATCTGTGGTATTGTGGCTGGCCACTTCAAATTTCCCACCTGTCTTCTAATGACATCTATAATCCTAATGTCTTGAACCCTAGTTTGCTTAAAGAGATCTTTTGCAGATTTTCTTTATTCAACCAGAAACAATCTCATGAAAGTCTTCATGAAGAAATTACCATAGTCCACAGAACAAATGGATAGAGGAAGAAGTCGATAGAATGAATCATCTTGAAGATCTACATTTTGTTGTGATAGGCGAATTTATGAATGAATGGAGTCATACTTTTGGTGATGCTGTTCTGATTTGATGAAAATAGAGCAAAATCTACGATAGTCCCACAGCCATTGCCGGGCTCTTTGCTGGAGACGGTGACTGAGAACACTCTTAACCAAATTCAATTCCCTCCATTACCCTCTCAAAAAAAACCCCAAACTCCTAGTAAACCCCTGGAACAGACTTTTTTGAATTTTAAGGGCACTAAATCTCTTAATAGTATGAATGTCCATGGCAAAGAAGCTATTGTCCCCATTCCTACAAAGACAATAGATTATATTGAAGGAGTGCCAGTAACTCAATGGACGGAAGGAAAAGTTGATCGCATGAATGCCCTAGCAGATTTGCAATATGCTGTAGTATGAAATTTTTTAATTCTGTAGAGATGGAAGTGATTAGGGATTCAGATAAGCAAATTACACTAAAATTAATTCTGGAGGACAACCAGTCCATCGTTATTACTTTAGTGTATGCTAAATGCAATGATATTGATAGGATTGATTTGTGGAATGACATGTATTTGACTACCTCTAACATGTCACCTCCTTGATTGGTACGAGGGGATTTTAATGTTATTTTATCTCAAGTGGAGAAGATTTGAGGACTACCAGTAAGACCTGACGATTGTGAAGAATTTTCCCATTGTATAAACTCTTTTGAATTATTTGAATTGGGATTCAAAGGCAGTCCTTTTACATGGTGGAATGGAAGAATTGATGATGAATTGTATTTTTGAAAGGTTGGATAGGGTGTTGAAAAACCAATTGTTACTGGACGGTTTAGGCAATATGGAGGTTGAACATTTATCCAGAACATGGTCGGACCGTGCCCCTCTCCTCATTAGTATAGGGGTTAGAATGCATATATTGGAAAACCTTTTAAGTTTTTAACGTTTTGGGCTGAACATGAGGAGGAGTTCAAAAGCATAGTTCGTGAAAATTGGAGTCCGGAGCGTCACTTTTTTCTTCCAAAATGCATAGAGGGCCACTGATTCTTTTAAAATACCAAAACAGATAATTCGCTGATGGGGCAGCGAAATACTTACTTGAATTTAACACTGTTAACCGCTATGTAAAAAAAAGTAGTTTTCTTAAAATCCCAGCAGCGATTTCATTAGATTTTTTTTTTTGATTTCCTCGCTGCTGAGGTCAGCAATTTCATCAATTTTTTTTTTTTAATAACATACATCGATTTCCATTTAACATCCCACCTTCAAGCAACCACTAAATAGTAACAATCATAGATGAAGGAAAAAAAGACACTTACCTAGCAAGAGAAAACTAGTAAATATGAAAGCTTGAGATTCTGCAACTCTCTCTTTTAACACAGAAAGAAGAAAGAGGGGTTTTGGCTAAATGGGGATTTTTTTTTTTTGAAAATCACTATCCCAGGAGTGATTTTAAATTTTTAAAAAAGTATTTCTTTCGGAAATCACTACCCGGACAGCAATTTTAATAAAAATATTGTTTTTAATGCAACGATTTCAAGAAAGCAATGTTTTTACACGGTGTTAACGAGGTTTAAATTGAGTAAGGATATCGCTGCTCCAATAGCAATTTATCCATCTTGGTATTTTAAAAAAATCAGTTGCCCTTTATGCATTTTGGAAGAAAAAAGTGACCCTTTTGGCTACGGACTGGGTTGCTGATTTTGAGGGACACCCCTTTCTGATGTTCAAATAGAAGATTAAAAAATGTCAAAAAGGCTGTCTAAGTGAAGCAGTGATACCTATGGAAATATTTCAAACAATTTATTTTAAGGGAAGAGTTGGTCAAAATCAAGGAGCAATTATTCGAGGAGCATCCTAGTTCAGACAATAGAATGATTCTTCACCATGCACAGACATAAGTGAAGAAATATTTACATTATGAGGAGGAATTTTGGAAAGGAAAAGCAGAAATCAAGTGGAAGGGGATAGAAACACAAATTTTTTTCATAATCAAGTGAACAGTAGAAGGAAAGGTTACAGGTGAAAAAGATCCACGATACACATGGAAATTTAATAGAGGGAGACTCAGCAATTGCAGAAGAGGGAATCAAGTTCTATAGAAATCAATTTCAGCAAGAAAAGGAGGGATCTGATTTTCATATTCTAAATCATATTCCTGAAATGGTATCTGAAGAAGATAATGCAAAGTTGTGCTCTATTCCACTAGACTTGGAAGAACTGAGAAAAACAACCTTGGCTTTAGATGGGTCAAGTGCAAGTGGACCTGATGGTTTATCCGGAGTTTTTTTCAATCTTGTTGGGAAGTGGTTGGTATATATGTTCGTAAGGTAGTAGAGGCAATTTTTTGGTGGTGATACTCTCCCCAAATGTTTTACTCATACTAACTTAACTTGGTCCTAATTCCTAAAAAAAGAGGTGGTTCAGAATTTGAAACCAATCAGTTTGAGTAATTTCATTAACAAGGTAATCTCAAGGGTGATGCTTGGAAGACTTGATCCTTTACTGTTGCGATTTATCTCCTCAAATCAGTCTTGTTTTGTGAAAGACAGATGTATAATTGAGAATGTGCTACTTACTCGAGAGATAGTTATAGACATCAGGAAGAGGGGAAAACCAACTAATGTGGTAATAAAGTTAGATATGACAAGGGCTTATGATAGAGTCTCTTAGCATTTTCTTACTAGGGTTCTGAGGAAAATGGGGTTTCAAGATGTTCTCATGGCTTCTATCTTGCTCAATGGTCAGTGTCATGTTGTTGTTTTTTAACTCTACTAGGAGTGTGAAGCAGGGTGATCCTCTTTCACCAACCTTATTTGTTCTTTCAGATGAAGTGCTTTCTAGGGCTCTAAATTCTCTGCATGACAATGGGTTGTATAAATGATCATATGGATTGCCAAGGTGGAGTGTTAGATGATACTACTATTTTCACATCTGCATATAAGGACTCTATCAGTTTGATTATGGAAACTCTTCAAGAATATGAAACAATTGATTAATAGAGATAAAAGTGCATTTTATATGTTCAAAAATGTGGCAGTCAGGTTGATGCAGGATGTTGAACAAATGACGGGTTTTGTAAACGGAGTGTTAAATACCTGAGATGTCCAATTTTTCACTCAAGGAAAAAGAAAAGAGTACTATAATGATTTGATTAAAAAGGTGAAGGAGAATCTATAGACTTGGAAGGGGAAGTTTCTCTCATATGGAGGAAAGACAGTGTTGATCAATGGTGTTCTACAAAGCAATGCCAATTTATCTATATCAACTCTAGCCCCCACCAAATATACCATTTCAGAATTACACAAGATTTTATTGGAGTAACAAGGAGGAGGGCATGCAAGAGTAGTCATTGGTCCTCTTGGAAGAATGTTTGATATCCTAAGTTAAAAGGGGGTGTAGGGTTTAGATCCTTATTAGATGTGTCTAAAGCCCTTTTTGCAAAATTTGGTGGAAGTTTAGGACAACTTGATCCCTTTGAGCAAACTACACGTGGAATAAGTATTGTAAAAGATATATCTCAACATAGTCCAATGGAAAGGGGGTCACAATCATGGAAGTTAGAGATGAAATTAAGAGAAGGATATTTGGTGGGAACCTCACTCTGGCTCAGCAAATCTGTGATATGAGAACTACTGGACAAGGCTTGGTCCTTTGTATTATATTCTGCCAAGTCATTATAATTATGATGAAAGACCGGATGATCTTAGTTGTTTCATGGAAGATGGAATATGGCAACATGATGTAGTATAACATCACCTACCTCAAGATCTTGTTAATTTTGTAATTAATGTGTGTAAGGTAAACCAACAAATCAAAATGTGTGTAAGGCTCCATATTTTTTATACATAACATAGTGAATCTCATTTGTCTTCTTTTTCAAATGAAAGTAATGAACAAGAAAGAGAAAGAATTTATACAATTCATGTCAAACATAATAAATTATATTAAATAAATGTAAATATGTTTATATAGTAAATTTATTAACTTATTTTTTTTTCTCATTTATTGTATTTGTGTAATTATCTTTTCTTGCCAATGTTTCAGATTAGAAAATGAGAAACTATTCATTAGTGAACCTTATTTTGGTACATATAGATTATCAATAAGAATTATACATAATTAATTATGAGCAATTGAGAGTACCTTTGCATATGTATTAGTTTTCTTCTTTTCTATACTTTTTCATATTTATTTTTCTGAAAATGTATGTGTTGTTCAAGAATTTAGTCAAATATACAAAATATAAGAAGTTTCTATCAATATTTCCTCCAAATAGAATGAAGGGAATAATATTTCTATGTTGATAAAAAAAAATTCAGTAAGTGATAAAGGTAAGGGGGTTCACGATTTTTAAAAAAAAATAATCAAAGGAAACCTTGATTTATTTTTATTTGATTTTTCTTTGTTTTACATGTTAACAAAACTGAAATAATTTGATTTGGTTTTGATTTTATATTTTAAAAATCAAAATAATTATTTTAAGCGAAAAATAGCAA